CTGACGTGGATGTGGTTTGAGGTGGCTTCTCTTTTGGAGGGGTGGGCGTCACCACATGAACATGGAGACACCACAGATATGCAGAAAGGATTGCTGCAAGTGTTGGAAGCAGCATCCAAAGAGACCATGGGAAAGTGGAAGAAAACAAAGACTACGACAAAGGTTGCCACTGCAATAGTGACATGGCCCCTGCTGTGTGCATTAAAGTTTGCCACGGACTGGGAATTAGCTATTCAGATTCAGTTCTGCAGAGGACAGCAAGTTAAAACTAGAAAGATAAGCTCATTTGGTGCAGGTTGATACCCAGTTTATGTTGTCATAGTCCTCACAAACTCACAAACTCAAACAGGTCATGGTGTGCCATGATGCTAAACTGAGGGGACATTGTAGGGCTAGAGACCAGATTAGGGTGATGGTGGAAACCTGGAGACTCAGATGTGGGACCCATTGGTAATCCATTGGTTCCAGTGTCTCAGAAGTGAGTTAGATGAAACTATAACAAAGTTAAAGACCCACCAGGAATGGCTGAAGGGATTGATCCAAATATGCTCCCTACTCCAGAGAGATATTTACATACCACCATGAGACCATGATGGTACTAGTGGAGCTGGGGGTCCAATTCCTGGAAGAAAATGAAAGAAAGCACACCACATGGCTGCTCCACTTGTGGGACACTGGATCAGATGGGATGATATTAAATGGGTATAGAATTATCTAAAATGGCTTTGAGAACTGCCTACTCTGTTTTACACCAACACCTTTATTCGAGTGCCACTGGGACTGACTCACTGTAGCTTGGTTGCTTATTGCCATTGGCAATATGCGGCTAAGTTCAGGAGATATTTCTATGTCCAGATGCACTTGGACCCCTTTAAAAAAATGACAAGCCTATTTGTGGGATCTGGGGCTGAAACGTGCTGTTTATGTGTAGCGTTAGCCAGGACTGGACAAGATGAACTTCACTGCCAGAACGTGAGATGCAGTGTTACCCACGGACCCTGGTGTCATTATTATCCACAATAGTAGAGCAGTCCATTCAGCGAGCAGCAAAGTGATAGCAGACCTAGAGGAGACAGAAAGATTGGAGACAGGAGTCCCTAAAATCCAGCCCAAATTGAAAGGGCCTCTTTAAGTTTGCATGTAACTGAAAGAGAAGAAACACCAGAAGACAAGCCATTAGACCCATACTAAATCACCAGTCTCTAATACTAGAGTCAGCCTGATACTGATTGTTACTGACTGATACATTGATTAGCAAAAGGAAACCCCCCAGAGTTAGAGCTGTAACCTATCATCTGGTGACGGAGACACTGTGAGTCAATGAAGGACAAGGACAGAAGTCAAAGGACTGAACTACATATGATATGGATGGTTATGTTTCATGAATATGGACCATTTAATATCTGCATTAATAGGCCATGTTCAGAAGACTTACAATGTGGCTGCTTCTGTGGCAACAGCAATGGATAATTAATTAATGGCCAGCCTCCGTGGAGAAAACAGTTTTCCAAACCAAAATCGTCACAATGTGACTGTGCATTGCCCTCTCCAATTTCCAGACAATGATAAGGCTGACCAACTGCTCAGAATTCCCAGTGACTGTAGCACAGGATGTCCCTAGGTCGTCCAACCTGCAAATGAGGTGGAATGAATGACTTGGCTGAAAAAGAGTGAACAGAAAACATTCAGTCACCAAAATGATCATCGTGTATTACACTAGACAAAAGATTTTTCCTTTGAGAGACACTGAATATTCCTCAAGTTCCAGGGTCTGCTTATTTAAGGATTGGGCTTTCATGGAAGGTAACAACTCAGGTTACAGTTAAAAAAGATGGCTTTCCATTGTATCATCCATATGGTTACCATAATAAGGCAGCAGGCTTTATGCCTGATGCTCTGTGTGAGAACAAAGTCGATCCAATACATATCCTCTCCCCATCATCACCCAATGTTATTCATAGAACTTTCTCTCTATTTGTGGGGTGCACTATGTATAAGTGGGCCCTATGGATGGCCTCACCTACTATATCATTGGCCAGGACAATGTACATGGGGATGTTTCTACATCCTGGTCCTAGTTTTGCATCTTTTACTGAACACACCTAATAATTGGGATGGTGTAAAGGTCTATTCATTAGATCCTTTCCCCACAGGCTGTGGTGGTTGATGTGGAAACATAGACCTCAGCTTTAGCTTCCCACGTTGCTCAGACTCAGACTAAAGATACCGTAACCTTATTAACTGAAGAAACTGCTCAAATGAGAAAGGTGGTTTTTTGCAAAATAGGACGGCATTATACATACTTATATCTGCCCAAGTTGGGGTATGAACAGACTTAGGGACAGAATGAGCACAGTATCACTCATGCTTTAACCCAGTGTATAAACACATTAGTGCTATTAATGTTCCTTTGTTGATCCATTTCTAGATCCTTTACTTCCTTTTCTTTGACATGGAACTGTACTTTCTACGCTATCTTACTTACTTTAGCATGCCCGATGATAGATTCTTGTTCTTTGTACTTCTGTGTGAAATGTGGATGTAATGTGCCTCCAGAACCCTGCTAAGGGCTTTGTGGGAAGACGGAGTGGAAAAAGAATGTGAGGGACATTAAAGGGCCTCTGAGGCATGGAAGGGGTGGAATGTTGGAGTTTAACACCTGTAAGTGCCTAGGAAGCTTCTTCAAAGAATATGTTATTGTGGGTAAGGAGGAAGGACACTGGCCATGTCCCCCATCTTCAGTCTTTAGATGGGGATCAGACCAGAATGACCTTAAATACAACTCCCCTGCATGTAGGTGTAGCATGGCACTCCATATTGTCCCAGCCTGCTGCTATCCAGAAACTCATGAGTCCAACCCTCTCTGGAGTCCCCCAAGCCTTTCTTTGGGACTGGTAAAGATATGCTGGCTTTGGAAGCCCTGGGATTGAACACTAAGTTTATTCCCTGTAACCACATTATATTCGTAGTGTAAACTGTGAGCATTTGTCTCCCTGAATGGCCTCCCATGTTCTGGTGTTCTATTAATGGTCTTTTCTATTTTGATTCCCTTTTGATTATTTAGTAGGTTTTCCACAAGAAAAGAGTTTGAGTTATTAAAAATTTCATGTGACATTTCTTCTGATTATAAAAATAATAGATGTGGAAAATTCTAGCAAGAAAATTAAACAATCTATTACACATATCTCAAGAGAAATGATAGGCTTTTGTTGTATTTTCCTGCTGGATTTCTATTTATTCATGTATAATACAGGCATTCTTTACAATTATGTGACTGCTCTGCAACATTCCTTTTGTAATATTCCTTTTCACTTTCATGTATTTTTAATATTTTCCCATGTTAGTCTTTTTTTCTACCATAGTTTTAGCAGCTGTGTTTATTTGAAAGCTGGGGAACTGTAGAGGAACCATTATTGAAGGAATGCATTTAATGTGGAAATAATAAAAAAGATTCATACCTAAGTATTCATGATATTTATTATGAATTCAAACCAATGTATATCTGATATTCCCTAGTCTTAGCTATGGACTAAAAACCCTTGGTTGGAAAGTGTGTGCAATGATTTCACTTTTCAATAAAACGTACCCAGAACATCCAGTTTTTATTTTGGTAAAATAGATGATGAGTGGAAAAGATATTTAAAGACGCATCATACATCTCCTAGATTGTATGTAAGTTTCTTCAAGATTTTGATAACAAATAAAACTGGAATAAATAGTGATACTGAAATCTTAGTCCTTGTCAATGATGCTGATCCAATAATGCAGGCAAGGTTTTGAGAAAAGGAAAAAGTTTTATTGATTTGCTTGCAAATGAGAAATGCAATGGATTCCCACCACAGAGGCTTCCAGTATCACTACCAGGGGAAGCAGACAGTTTTAAAACAGGGGATACAAAGATTGTTTTCTAAGTATCATTATCAGTAGATCAAATTAATTTTTTTATTTCTCTCTTTGTGTGTGTGTGTGTGTGTGTGTGTGTGTGTGTGTGTGTGTGTATGTATGTGTTGCTGGGGATTAGAACCCAGGGCCTTGTGCATGCAAAGCAAGCACTCTACCAACTGAGCTATATCCCCAGCCCCCAGTTAATGTTTAATTTATATCCTTGAAAGAGCTGCTGTTTCAGTTTCCAGGTCAGAAGTATCTTTATTCTTGTGAGCAGTGAGTGGAAGACAGATAACTTGGTTTAAACAGGAAGAATGCTTGTCTTGCTTCCCCCATGGTTAGGAAGGGGAAGAGAGAGAAAAAGGAATGAAAACAATAAGTCATTTTAAAAATAAGCCACCAATGTTGAAGCATCAAGGTTTATATTCAAAGCATGAAGTGGACCCCTGTTATATTAGGAATTTAGAATGTCTAAGTCTTGGACTGCATGCTCTTACGTGTCTAGGAGCACAGATGTGCAGGTTGTCCGATAGAACTCTGTCAGCTATGACTGTTTCATGGGAGAGTACAGAGTATCCATTGCACTGGAAAATCATATAGTGGTGTTAGGAGAGCATTTGACCTTTTCACGGTGGGGACTGACTTAAATAGTTACCCAGTGCTCTGTTGTAGGGGATTCTGGTGTTTTACAGTTGAACTTGCCAAATTCCCAAAATTTAGCATTTTTGGGGGGTCAGAGTTAGGAATTAAACCCAAGGCCTTGTGCATGCTAAGCAAGAGCTCTACCCTGAGCTACATCACCCGCCAGAGGATTATTCCTATAAGTTGTGTTTATAAGCACAGCTGTGTATACACATACATGTAGCATGTCTTTCAGGCATACTATCAACTAACTTTCCAAAAATATTGTGCCAGGTTATCTCTACTTCCATCAGATTGTAGGAGAGCATCCATTACAATATTCACTTTCAACGTTCACTGAGTTTAATAATAATTTAAGAACCCAATGGACTAAAATTGTAGCTCTGTAGTAGAACACTTGTCTAGCCTGTGCAAGTCCCTTAGTCCAATTCCCACCATGATTAAAAAAAAATTAAAAAAAATAAGAGAATTACCTTTTGGAGTTGAGTGTGTAGCTCAGTGGTGGAACGTTTGCCTAGTATATGGCAAGGCTCTGAGTATGATCCATACATAGCACAGGGTGGAAAAAAAGAAAAAAAAAGTTAAAAAAATAGCACCTTGTTCTGTTTGATAGATGCTTTCTTTAGCTTTTTCATTGCTGTGACCAAAAGATCTGATAAAAATTTAGAGGAAGAAAAGTTTATTTTGGCTCATGGTTTCAGAGAGAGGTTCAGTCCTCTCCCAGCTGATTCTATAACTCTTGAGTCTAGGGTGAGGCAGATCATCTTGGTAAAAGGGTGAGATGGAGGAAAGTAGCTCAGGACATGGCAAGCAGGAAGCAAAGAGAGAGCTCCATTTTCCAGGAACTAAGTATAAACCCCAAAGGCATACCTCCAGTGACCAACTTCGTCCAGCTATGCCCTATTTGCCTGTAGTTACTATCCAGTATAATTTACCCAGTATAATTTAAATCAGTGGATTAATCCAATGGTAAGTTTATAACTCTCATTATCATTTCACTTTTGAACATTCTTGCATGATCTCATGAATGAGCTTTAGGAGATACCTCATATCTAAACTATAATGATAATGTGATGAGACAGAAGTCTTGACTATAGTGACTCCATTTTGTTTAGTAACCATGCCAAGCAGAAAGGTCATGACTAGGGCAAGTTGTTTTTCCTTCTGTTGTGGAAACCCTCAAGAACATGGAACTATCTAACTGGGCTCTGTTTCTGTAACTGGGGTAACTGGGTTTATTCTGATTGGCTAAGCCTCCTGCTGCCTGACTGCCATCTCCTACTTCTGTGACTTGGCTTGCTTGCATTGGCTAAACCCCTTAATGTCCCTTTTGTGTTTTTTTTTAGCTTAAATATGAGGCTATACTGAAGGGGGTGCACCACTCTGACCATATTGCTTTTAGAGAATAGAGTGTCTGCCATTGGCCAGCAATAAAGGCTTAATTGGAATGGCAATGTGTGAACTAAGAGTTATTTGAGGGTCTTGGTATCGGTATAACAAAAGGTGAAATTCAAACCAATTCATATCCATTCCCCAATCACTTTGCTATATAATAAAAGTCTGGTTGGAGAGCAGGTTCACTGATTTAAGTTTCTGTCATAAACCATATTTTGAAAATCTGTGTTTAATATTTGTGAAGTGGATAGAGAATGTAAAAACATTTAATCTGACTGCAACTTTGAGTGTATGCCAATTTTTCCAGACTTTTAATACACAGAAACAACTGGTATAAAGGGTTTAGATTGAAAGTGGTTGAGTCTTGCCCAGCAGGCCCTTAAGCTTTGGGGAGCATAGATAAAGTGGTTGTCAGGTACTGTCCTTTTATAGGAGAGTGGAGAAAGTCAAACCCACTTGCAGAGTCTTCCCACTACACTATCTTCCCACTGTGTAGATGTACGTTCAGAGGTTACTCGGTCCTCTGTTGTGGGGATTTTGGTGGTTTGTAATTAAAACTTCTGAAATTTGTACAAATCCAAGGTGAACCTTAAGATGAATTCCTGGAGGTATGAATTTGCTTTTATGTGCAAGTATGTGCCTACACATACATTTGCCATTTCTTTGAGACATTGTCAGATTACTCTACAAAATGACAATGCCAGATTATCTTCATTTTCCATCAGATGGAAAGAAGTGCTCATTTTAATGTTTTCCAGAACTGAGTTTAATAAGAATTCAAAACTTGTTCTGTTTGAAAGGTAAAATTTTGAGCTCTATCTGTGCTAACTGGTAGTTTTAGAACTTAAAAATATATATTTTCCTTATAAAACATTATATAAGTGTGAACAATTTATCTTATCCTCAGTTATCTTAGCTGTTTCTGTATTTCCTGTTGATTTTCATCCACTTTTTTTCCTTCTCTTGGGATACTGCAGATTGAACACAGGGGTGCTTTACCACTGATTCATACCCCCAGCCCTTTTTGATTTTTTACTTTGATACAGGTTCTCACTAAGTTGCTGAGGACCTCAACCAGTTGCTGATGCTGGCTTTGAACTTGTGATCCTCCAGCCTTAGCCTCCAAGATGCTGGGATTATAGGTATGAGCCACAGCTCCTGGCTGCACCCACTCTTTCTAAATCGAGGATAATAAATTTTGTTCTTCACTGACAATATAGTGACATTATGTTTGCTGTTATCGTTCGACAAAAGCTGGCAATATCAACTCATTACAATAGAAATTTCGCAAGAACATACCTTGAATTTGAACAAGAAATATAGACAATTTTTGGATAGTTTAAAAATTTTTTTTCTTCATGTGGCTGATTAGTATACATTTGTTCATTTTTACTTAGTGTGAACATGAAGAATCTTTAAGGCCCAAATTCAAAAGAGTAGTTTGTATATTCTTGGAATTTCTGGGATCAGTGCTTCTGGCATAGCACAGGGCTAGTCCTTCAGGTCTTCCCATCTCTTGATTAAAAGTTTATTTCACTGTGGTAATAAACTTTACTGCCTGTGTGGGTCTTTCTTTTAGATACTGCTGTTTCTTTTGCCTTTCCAAAAAAATCAGGTTTTGAGTTAACATATCTCATGCCTTTTTTTTTTCTAACAATAGAACTTAAATCATATTTTTTCAGGGAAGGATGAAGAAAGAGGTACTCAGGGCAAAAATTCAGTCTCTAATTTTTTTTTTCATGGCTCAGTTTGGGTATCAGTGATAAAATCATATATTTCTGTGGTCTGTGGTCTGGTGTGCTTTTAGATTAATCCAAATGTTCTTTGCTTTCTTTTTTGGTGGTGTTGGAGATTGAATCCAGGGTGTTAAGTGCAACACTATGTTATACTCCTAACCTCAGATAGTTATGAATGCGGATATTTATTCTTGGTGGTTATCATCATTTTACAGCTACTTTGGGAAGTTGGTCAATTTTTTAACTTACACACTCTATTAGAAAGAATGTATAGCATTAAAGACAAATCCTTGTCTCAGTATTGTCTAAACAAGTAGCCTCAGAGTTGAGATGGCTATGGATTAGCAGGGCTGGTTTCAATGTTGCTTTTTGGTGTTCAGGAGGGCCCACCTCTCCCCAAAATACAGGGCAGTTTTGAGAGCAGAGGAGTCCCTAAATTAAAAAAAAAAAATTTATGGGGTTTGAAACTCCAGAGAGCATTGAAATCCTGGTCTGTCATTAGCAGAGCTCTTTCTCTCATGGACTTAATCCCTGTATGTATAAGTGACTTTTATTGGAGTTAGAATACCAAACCTTACTCTGTGCGTGTGTGTGTGTGTGTGTGTGTGTGTGTGTGTGTGTGTACACGTGTGTACATGTGCACATGTGAGTGCAGGGCATGGGAATGAATAAGGAATCAGTGCAGAGGTTGATTTTTTTTTTTTTTGAGATGGGGTCTTTCTTGCAGTGTTGCCCAGACTGGCCTCCTACTGATCCTCAGCTCTGGAGTAGCTGAGATTACAGACATGCTCCATAGCACCTGGCTAAGTTGATGCTTTTGAAGACCCTGAAAGTAACCAGTCTGTACAACTGCCTTCTATATTTGGCATTGTAAGTACCCTGGGCTTGCATATGGTGAACTGCAAGTCAGAGGACATTGACATTTATCATAGGCGGACCATGGACTAAGAAATTTTAGTTCATTGAGGTATCGAGTTTTTTTTTTTTTCTTTCCCCCTTTTGGCATCAGTTTAGATCATTTTTCAGTGGCTGCAAGGCATTTCTTTGAATACCTGTCCTAATGTTAAATCCCTGCCCCCTGTGTTAGGAGAAAAGGCTTTTGGGGGATAGATAGGCTAAGATGAGGTTTGTCAAATGGGTGGTCATGATGGGTCTAGTGTCCTTATAAAGAAGACATGGGACTAGGCCACCCTTTTACTAGCTTGTAAGGACTCACCAAGCAAGGCACCTGTGCAGACCCAGCCTCTGCAACTAGAAAGCAGCTCCTGATTTCCAACTCCCACCATTTAGAAACTTGAGGAAAAAAAAAATCTGTTGTTTGTAAGATAACCAGGTTTTGGTGTTTTTTTTTTTTTTTTTTTTTTTTTGCTTGAAAAAACCTGAATTTGCAGAGTTGTGAAATTTAGGTTGTTTAAGATAAATTATTTTTGTCTAAATAGATCTATGACAAATATACATGTTGGATTGAGCTTCGAGTCCTTCTGATAGGTTCTCAGAAATGATGTTACCATATTAAGAATAAAGAACTGGAAGAGTAGACAAGAGTGCTTCTGGCCAGAACAAGGGCTTGGTGATCATCATATCTCTGCCAGACCATCAGATGGAGATTTTTCTTGCATTTCTTTCATCAATAATGCCAGAATATCTTAATGTTGATTGAATGCTTGATGTCTTTTGTGGACTTTGCTATTAGGCATGTAAGATTTCTTGTTTAAGGAGGACTTCATGCTCATGCCTCCATCACTGAGATATGGCCCTGAATTCAGGTGTTTGATTTTTAACTGATTTGTGGTTCTTATACAGGTCTAGGGTTTGAGTCTCCAATTGGGTAGAATTTTCTTTATTTTGTTAAAACTAATAAATTTTATGAAAATTTAAATAGTTTGAAAATATATAACTAGAATTTGGGTTTAATGCTCAGTATGATATATATATATACACACACATATATATACATAAAATATATACTCTTTCTCTTTAGGACTAGCAATATTCTTCTCAAAAATAATCATATTTTGTAGCATTATTATGACTTAAAGATTTGGTGAATGAAATAAACAATGAATAAAATATACAATTGTTATAAAAAAAAGAGAAAACACTTAAATTGAAAGTTTTCTTAAATAAGAATAAGGTCTAAAGCCCATTAAAATTGCACACCCTTGTTTGGTTTGCATTCCCATTTTTGGTTTGCACTCACTGGATAGTGAGTGGTACCTGTAGTGGGACAAATAAGAAGGGGCCCTATGGGGTGATGTGATGGGGCAGATGGGTGATTGCCTTTTTGGGGGCATGATCGATTTCTGCGGACCTTCAGCCTAGGATTGGCTGAGAATTTGGCTGCTGTGATTGGCTGAGACTCAGCTGCTTTGTTAGTGTCGTATACCATTTTGGTTAGGTTGTGAATCACTTGCACATGCATCTCAGTGGCTACTTATGAGAAACAGGGTGCCTTTTGGTCATATTTCATCACCCAAGTAATGAGGCAAGTTCAGGCCACTTCATGAAGTGCCCAAATACTCAGTATGATTTAATTTGGAAGAAGGTTCTTGTGCCACTATCACTTGGGTGACAACATAGGCCATAGAGGGCAGTGCCTTCCTGCAGTGGCATGATTTGCCTCCTTGAGGTAAGACCTAGGAGACATCACTGTGCTGCTCACGGTGATACTTTGTTTCCTGATTGTCCCACCATTTATGCTCATTACTAGTGAAACTTTCTCATTTTTGTTAATTGCGGGCATGAGAAGCTTTGAATGTGTGTGTGTTCGGTTGAGTTTTACATAGGGGTGGCACTGCTGAGCTGGATATCACCCCCACCATCCTTGCCGCCATGGTTTTCTTCATGGGTGTGTTGGTAAGCACTGTGGTGGCTGCCCTTGGCGGGGTTCCTGCTCATCATGGGTCTTCAGAATGACCTTTTCCTCAAAAGTCTGTTCAAGGCTCTTGTCTGCTTGAAGGAATCGGATTGTTTGTCCTTTAATTGTGATTGTAGAGCTTCTTTATTCTGGATCTTTACTGGGGTCAAATGTATGTGTTGCGAACGGATCCTCCCTGTCTGTGGTCTGTTCTGCTTCTTCTCACTTTCTCTCTCATATTGTTTTTACTTATTTGCAATCCTGGTGATGAACCCTAGGCCTCACACATACTGAGCACATAGTCTACCACTAAGACACGCCCCCCCCCCCAGCTTATGGCTTCTCAGGGTTTTGTGGTCCCTTTTTTCTTGTTTTCTTTTTAAACTTCCCATCATAATTGGGATTGAATTCAGGGACACCGTATCATTGAGCCATATGCCTAGACCTTTTCATTTTGTGGTTTGAGACAGGGTGTTGCTGATTTGCACAGACTGGCCTGAAATTGCAATCTTCCTGCCTCAGCCTTCTGTAGAGCTGGAATCACAATGCTGAGCCACCACACCTAGCTATTGCAGCTTGTCCTGAAGAGAAGTTTGCATTTTATCCATGGTGACTATTTTCTCTTTCCTATTGCTTCTGTCTTACCCTCCCTTCTTTCCCTTGATTCAAATTATACATTTTCCCAGCCTTTTAACCTGGATATGTTTATTTCTAAATTCTTTATTTCCCATTATTTTTTCCTCCTTCAAAATGAATGCTTGCTTTTGATGGGTCTATTGTACTGTTATTATATTTATAATTTTAGAGCTTCCTTTGACTCTTTGCTTTAACTCAGTTTTTTTTCCTTTTCTTGAGATGGAAACACTTCTTTGTCCATGTTTGTTGCTTTCAACCTCTCCTCTCAAGCCTTCCTCTTGCCTCAGCCTCTGGTGCACTTGGTTTTACAGGGACAAGACATTCAGTGTGCTTTAAACTCTGAGTTTTAGTTTTTTAAAACCTTGAATTTTAATTTCTTGAACCTAATAGTATCATTTCATTTAAGTACTTACTATTTTTTCTTTCTGAATAACACCTCAGGTCCTGTCATATGCTAGGCAAGTGCTATACCCTGACAAATTCTTTTTTTTTTTTCTGTGATGTAATAATCTCATTGTTTGCTATGCTGACCAACTCATTGGATCCAGTGATCCTTCTGCTTCAGCCTTTGGAGAGCTGGGTCTTGGACCTTTTACCATCCTAGGCTACTTGGTCAGTTATTTTACTTTAGAGACTTTATTATCTTGAACCCTGTCTTGTTATGTGGTCTTGGTTTTTGACTTGCCTTCTTGTATGGTTGGGTTTTCATTGCTTGTTGAATATTTATGTATTTATTTTATAGTGCTAGGGATAAACCCATGGCCTTGTGCATACAAGGCAAGCACTCTAACAACTGAGCTGTATCCCCAGCCTTTGTTGGATATTTTATATTAAAAGCTATATAAGAAATTTGAGACCCTAGATGATACTCTCCTTAAGAGGGGGTTGACTTTGTTTTTCCCTGCAGTTGGCCTGTAGATAATGAGATAGTCCTGAGATCCCCATGTCTTGGCTTTGTTTTTGGTAAGAAACCTGTCTCTTCATACTGTCCAAACCCCTCTTTTGAAAGTATAGCCCTTGGTAGCTTCAATACCCAGAGATGATTGGTTTCTATAGCCATTTCACTGTGTCGTGGCAGTGGGTCTTCAGCTCTGGATTTGATCTTTCTAACCCTCCTAGTGTCAATTTAACAGCCCTTTGCTGGTAGTTTGTAATTGTTGGCCTCTAGAGGTGGAAGAGTCATCATGGCACATTCTCCTTTGCTTCTGAACCAAGATGGTTGTGAATCTTGGCCCTTTATTTCTTCCTTCCTTAGGTTTAAATGTACATATACTTATTGATTCATTTTGTAATTGTTTTTAGCTGTAGGGTTAATCTGAAGCTCCCTGTTGTACCACTGCCACATTGGGCATTGCTAGCTTTATTTTTTTTCTTCTTTATTATTTTTATCCACTTGGAGTATATTTATGAGATGAACCTTAGCTATACCTCAGGTGTTCTCCAGATGTAATGTTCTTTGCATGATCCAGCTGTATCTTATTGCTGGTGAAATTTTCCCTGTTGTGCGGGCTGTGTTGTTGTTTAAAACTAAGATAGGCTACAGCTGGGCAATCAACCCAGTACCCTTCTACCTTAGTGACTTGAACTTCAGCTTTTATTACCTCATAATTTCTTTTTGTTAGGCATCTGGCCAGGAAGGCATTGGCTGGTATGTCCTTGTTGGCTGGAGAGAGCCCAGTTTTGAGCTGATTTGTCTGGTTCCTGGTGGGTTTCCATTCCTGGCAGGCTGCAGATGAGGCAGTTGCCCTCTGTTCCTTGCCACATGGGCTCCTTCATAGGGCCCCTCACAGCATGGTGGGCAGTTTCCCGTGAGCCAGGGAGAGAATGTGAGATGGCAAGAAATAAGTCACAGATTCTTTAGACTTCATCTCACCTTTGCCATATTCTGGTGTTAGAATGCAGATATAGGTTTTTGTTTAAGTTCACAGTACTGAAAGGGGAGAAAATAATGTGAACAAATCTCATTAGAATATGCCCAATAGACGAGGTCGGTTAACCAGATAATGATCAAGTTTCAAAGTTATGAAAGTCTAGTTGCTCAGTTAGGTTGGAATTTCCATAGGATTCTGTGAGAAGTGGTCACACTTAGTTTGACATGTGTCTTTCTACACGTGGGTGGTTCTTGGAAAAAACTGATCTCCATAGTGGAAAGCCATGTCAACAGGTAAGACCCCTCAATGCTGGAGGCTAGAGGTGGTGTTGGCCAACAAGGATTCTGAGAATAGGTATGGCCTTGTGTTCTCAAAGTGTCTGTCAAATTCTTGTGCACACGCACGCGCATACACACGTAATTTTTTTTTTTTCTCGTACCAGGGATTGAAGCCAGGGGTGTTAACACCTTGAGTCAAATCCTCAGTCCTTTTTTTTTTTTTTTTTCTGAGACAGGGCCTTGCTAAGTTGCTGAGACTGACTTTGGACTTGCAATCTTCCTGCCTCAACCTCCTGAGCCTGAGGATTACAGGCATGAGCCACTTTGCCTGGCACAGACACACACACACACACACACATATATATTTTGAAGTAGTTGAGGTCAATTACATATATGAAGTCACACATTAGGTGTGATGTAAAATGTTCCTAAGGTGGGGGGTAATCAAAGTTCTCACAGATGGGATCTGGTAAAAGGGATATGGGGGATATACACAAAAAGCTGCAAGTTTTTAAAATCATTTCAAAGGCATAAAACAGTTCCTTTGATTTCAAATTGCTTAAAGTCTAAGTTATACTTTCTTAGATATTTGTGTAAAGCCAATTTAGTGAGAAATATAACAAAATTAATCAGACACACATGACATATTATTCTTGATATGATACCATATGATCAGTAAAGACCAAAATTTGAATCTCATGACTATCTTGACAAATCTTTTCCAATTAAAAACAGGTTTATAAATAATATTCCATGGGTTACAGTGCTTATTTGCATAACTCAGAACATTCTCAATTACCATAGTAACAAAAATTAGAATAGCCATAATGTTTGAAAAATTGTGTCACATTCCTTTTTCAGTGTTTGTAAAGTTTTTCATAATTTGATAGTTTCCTGGGTGAAGTCTTCTTTTCTGTGGTACTGGGAATGAATCCAGGGTCCTTTATCACTGAGCTACATCCCCACCCCTTTTTATTTTTTATTCTTAGACAAGGTTTTATTAAGTTGCCCAGGCTGACCTTGAATTTGTAATGCACCATTTCCACCTTATCTAACTAGCTTAAGATTTTATTGACATCTGGTATAGGGTATTTTATCAACATTTGATATAGGGTATTTTAATATGAAATATTTCATTTATATTTTTTATCTTTAATTGATCTTCATACTATCAGTTATCTCCTGTGGTAAAGTTGATAATATATTTAAATTTCATGCAACCATGTAACTCAAAATCTTGGTTATTCTTCTCTTCCAGTTTTATGGTATTAATAGGATTTTGAGGATGCAATCATTGTTCAGTTGTCAACATAGTAAATGATAGGAGTACTAGGCAATAGTGCCATAGTCATAGGTACATGAACTATTGGTAATTTCAGTAGGTCTTGAGGTTAAATAGATGTCATGATTCCATGAAATTAACTGATATGCTGGTATGTAATATCCATCAATTAAAACAGGATCCTGAGTTGTGTGCAGGTTCCACTTAACCTTTTTGAAAATAAGAAAGCCGAATGGTATGGTCTTCCAAGAGAATGTCACTTCCTTTAAATGATAGGATTATTTTGTTGTGTTGCTAGTTAGTGAACCCAAGGTTTTATATCTGCTAGGCATATGTTCCATCACTGAGCTACCCCAAGCCCTAAGTGAAAGAATTCTAATTTAAATTCATTAGAGAGTCAACATCCATGAAGATATACTGAGTCAAAAGTTTTGATGTCATGGGATTATCAGATAGGTCTGGATACCAGTATGCTCTTATGATCACTGCTTGTTTAAGGGTAGTCTACACATCATTTAACCTTAATTTGTAGCATATGATTTTTATTATTAATGTAGAAATCTATGAGGTTTATCTGTAAGTGCACATTTATAGCATTTTCTCCAAGAGCTTTATGAAGTGTAACCAAGGCTTTCAGAGTTTTTTGTTCTAATGTGAGCCAATCATGAAGTTAGTGGCATATGCCTTTAGAGGAAAGTTCAAGGTAGAGTTCACATGATCTCTGTGTAGTCAGGATCAGGTTCAGTGGAAGTAAGAAGCATTGTCATTTTGTTTCCAGTTAGTAAGTATTAAAAGAGCATCTTCTAATAGTGAATTCTTGTTGTATAGCTTCAAAAGAATCTTCTGGATCAGCTGGTTGTGAGCACATAAATCTCATTTTTATAAAACAGTCATGTGTTAATGTAGAGAAATGCATCAGTAGGCAATTTTATCATTGTGTGAACATTATAGAGTGTATTTTCACATACTAAGATGGCTATGACATCATTCAGCCACATAGTCTTATGGGATCATTGTCATTGTTGATTGTAACATCATTATGTTGTGTATAAATGTTCTAATGTTATTTCACCAGAGTGGTATGTGAAAGATTTCTGTGAGTCACATGTTTCATTATCTTATAGCAGGAGAGGTTAAAGTGATGCTTGTATAGATCTTTGTATAATAAAGCAAAAACTGCCCCCATTATGGCAGGATTTAAGATTTTTTTCTGGGATCTGATTGTCATTGAACCATGTCTGGTCAATAGTCAAAACTGAATATTTTTCTGTGCATTTTAGCAATGAAGGAGTGGTTAGAAGGAATAGGATAGTAGTAGAAATAGTGCTAACCTCCTTAGTACCAGTTGCACTGAGTTGTTAATACTATAATTCATTTTCAATAGAAACAGAGTAACAGGAATCTAGGTGCCCTTATTGTAGATGTTTTTAGGATAATGTTTAGGAATTGCAGGCTTTTTTTACAGGATGCAGTTTTTTTTCTAGGCATCTAATTGTGCAAAAGCAACAACCTCAAGCTTGTTCCTGACACAAAGGCATGGAAGTTAGTGTTAGACTTTATTGTGGAAAACTTAGAGTCCATTCTGCATAAAATGAAGGAGCTTTTTGTGATAGTGTGGCATGATACTTAACAAATCAGGGCTTAAATCTCAGTGAGATTTATGTAAACCCTGAGTAGTACCCAAAGCTACATTTATTTTTGAAGCCAAGTTTTAGAAAAGGTGTTTTGGATAGTACTCAGTAACTGTGTAGTCACCACAGCAAGTTGGTTATACCCAGAGGGAAAAAGACATCTAGTGTAGGCTAGATGTCTTTGTCCTATCCTTCTTGTTCACTTCCAGAAGGGTCAGAGAAATTTCTGTTTGGCTGGCTCCCTCAGCTTCTTGTAGAACTCTGTCCATACATGAAAAGTTTCTCACCTTGGTATAGAGAGGAAGGGTTGCAATGAAGAGTATTTGGTCCTATGAAGCCAAACGAGGAAGTAAACTGCTGTGCAGGTACTACTGTTTTATTTTCTCCAAACTGTGCATTCCAGTTGGAAAAAAGAAAAGGATTTAAAATGTTACAATGATTCTCAGTGTTGGAACTTGTTTAATGCCAAATGTGAATCTAAAATTCTGAATATCTTTATTGACTTTGTTGATGTTATTACAAACAAGTTCAAAATATTTGTTGGTGTAATTTATAATTGCTTCAAATGTACCAGTATTGTTTTTTTTTTTAAAGATAAAAGGAGTCATTGCCTTCAAGGTCATTTTACAATAATTTTCAAGATGAGTGTAACTTTCATTTTATCTATCTATAAACACATACTGTGTTTTTAAGAAAAAGGTCAATATTATACTTTTTAGAACTTCTATACTTCCATCTCTTTACTTGGGCCCCTATCTTGGCATTTTCTTACTTTTGAACTTCAGTTTTGGTTGGTAGATCACTGCCTGTTGGCCAAGTCTGGCCCACCACCTGCTATGGGAAATAAAGTTTTATGGGATCATGGCTATGATCATTGATTTATAGATGATCTTTGGCTGCTTTCTTCCCCAGTGGTGGAGTTGAAGGGTTCTGACAGACTAAATGACCCTCAAGCCTGAAATCCTTACTGGATGGCTCCTGCATTCTTCTCTCAAACTCTCCTCTCTGGTCTGGCTTGTGAATCTGGTCAGTCCAGATTGCAAGGGCCTTGCTTCAGCCCTATTCTTTACAGGCAAAGATCCTGTCTTCACGGGGTTTAATCTCCACTGGTGGGAGTTGGGCAATAGAAAATAAATTAGTAAGTGGTACAGTCATTCAGAAAGTCTAAACAGTCTAGCAAGGGTATTGCAAGAAGAAGTGGGAGAGGTTTTACAGGTGGCACTGAGGTTCTTTTATATCTGTGCCCCACCCTGGCCACTCTTCCACCCATGAGCTCAACTCCATTTCATCCTCAGGGAGACCCCTTAAGTGTAAGTGGATTGTCTTCACACCTGCTTTCACTTTCCCAGCTGCAAAATTGCTTTCCTCAGTCTCCATTACCTGTGAGTCTCAGGGGAAGAACAATCTGGACCTGAGTCCTTGGGAATGGAATATTCCTGGAGATGTGACAGGGCTATGTGCCTTGGGTCCCTTGCGGGTGGAGTTCTGAGGGGTTATGGTAATAGGTGGGGTACACCTGTATCCTGTGCCCTCTCTGTTGTACTTAGGAATTTACACTTGCTTTATGGGGGCTAAGCATGACTATGGGGCTATGAGAATTATGGTCACTTGTGTATTTAAAAAAAAATAGTGCAGCAATGGAATCCAATTAGGGTTGTGTTGGGACTCTGTTGCATTTTAAATCTTGACACACAATGAGCCCTTACTAGATTTGCTTAAATGAAGTATAATAATCATATAACTCTCGTTGTTTCAGCTTTTTCTAGCATCGTGTATCTTAGAAATGTGTTTCACTCTTATTGCTTCTTCTAATAGTATAGTTTTATCTAATATAAAAAGGAGAGAATAATTAACTTAGGTTTCTATTAACTACAAATGCAAGTGGTTTTCCTAAGAAAAGTTAAGTTTAGTTATGATCAAGAAGTGCATTTGCTATTGGATTATATGTTAATATATTTAGCAGCTTGATATCTCCTTACTGGAAAGTAGCTTTGTTTCTTGAGTATAAAGACTTCATTGGCAAATAAGTCCAGTGCACTTATCTTAAAATTCATGGGAATTTCAAAAATATAATAAAAAATAATTTGTGTTTTGATGATTTTCATCAAGTTCCTATAGGTTATATATAGCCTGCAGGCCACAAAATGCAAGAATTTGCAAAGAAAATTGTGTGAGTGGTCTCTTTCAGGTGGTGTAGCTGTAAAAATTTTCAAGTCAATATTTATGGTTGTACGATCAAGGTTTTATGGTACTTAAATACTAACCTGCAAGAAGGGTTTTATCTTGAAAAAATCAGAGAAGCTCTAATTTGATCTGCTTTATTATAGTCTTATACTGTCAATTGCCTCTAATGATGTAATTTGTTACATGGCCTTGGACTTTTAATCTCTAAAGTGTCAGTGGAGACCTAAGCTCTCATAGGGGAGGAGAAAAGGGTGGACGGGATAGGAGGAGGTACAGTTGTATGTGTGGACATGGGGGGGGGTGCTGTGTGTTAGACAAGGGACATCAGATCCCATGAAGCTTATATAGGATTATGGGAATTGTCATACACCTAAATGATTTGAGATGAAAATTAGCAGGGTCACATGAGTGCAGTGTCCACCATTTTGAACCCATGCTTGGGAAAGCAGGGGTTTGAATGCTGAGAAGATTTTGTCACAGGAAATGGGACCATAGGCGGGATGCTGTATTCAGCAGGCTGGTGTGCACCCCTTGTAAATATTTATACTAACACTTGCATTAGCAGATGGATCCTGAATGGTGTTAATTATTAAATAGCTCTATCCAGCAGTTAGCATGTTTACATACAGCTAGCCTGAAGCCTGCCTGACTTAGAAGTTCTGCATCATAGGAGCCCTTTTTGGTCTTGGGAAGATCTGGATGATGTACAGAGTCCTAAATGATCACATACGACTAGTTCTTGTGGGAAAGCTAGGCTCTCGTTCTGTTTAGGGCAAGAAGGGGAGTCCAGGGTCTCTTCATATTTTCTGCCCTGCTTGGATTCCATATTGGGAAATGAAGTGGAACAGATGTTGACAATGAGTGGTTCTTTTTAAAGAGCCCTGAGTAATGAATGACAATTGCTAGGATTTGGACTGGGGAATGGCTAATGAAACTTCATTATGGTTGTAGAGAATGTTAGTGGGCTGTTGGAATTACTTGCAAATTGGAATTGAATCAGCAACATAGTGCTTTTTTTTTTTCAGGGCAAACTAATATAATATCCTGCTGTACTTAGGTATTGCTTCATGTTGTAGTTCATCAGTGTCAGTCATTGAGGTCTTTATGAGATTATTCAGTTGTCCTTTGGGATCAGCTTCCAGGAAGCATTTGGTGTTTTAAGACAGCAAGCAACAGTTCCAGGAAGACTGAAGCTGCTGTCGTTCTGTGAGAAGGTCATCAATAGATTTTGTTTTTGTGAGAACAGAGTATAAGAATACAAACTAAGATAGCTTTGTCATTAGCCTACAGTATTACTGGTTCAATCCCACTATCACAGAAGCACAATTATTTAGTGGCCCATATTTTATCAAAAGATCATTATGTAGAGCATGAAGATGTGAGAACAAGCTGGAGAACAAGCCTGGGGTATCTCAAAAGGACAGTTCACAAGTCAGGAGTTGTTTACCCTCTGTAAGTGATGTTAAAACTTCTGTATTAGTTTGGCATTGTACAATGGATTTGCAACGTTCTCTTATTCCCAACTAGATGCTTTTATTCCTTGGATCTTGTGCCTTCCACTTGCCCTTGAGGTTTATTTCATTAATTAAAGCTGGCAGAGAAAGACTGGCCCCTCATCCCATCTCAAACTTCAGGTAAGTTCTGGGCAGTCCACTGCTGGCCAGTTAACTCTGGCCAGGAAAGTCCACTGCTGGTTGGCTGCTGTGAGAGCAGCTGTGGCTGAAATGAGGAGGAAGAAGCAATTCCTGGAAAGAAGGGGGACACCATGCTCTAAACCAAGCTAGGGGTGTCCCAGAAGAATAAGCCCCAAGTGAAGAAGGTAAGTCTCCCTCCTACAGTAATAGGGGGCAGCCATGTGACCTCTGAAATTTTGAGTTTCTTGGGATTGGATTTCCCTGGGATTGCTTTTTTTTTTTTTTTTTTTGGTTGTTCACAACATTACAAAGCTCTTGACATATCATATTTCATACATTAGATTGAAGTGGGTTATGAACTCCCAATTTTACCCCAAATGCAGATTGCAGAATCACGTCAGTTACACATCCACAATTTTACATAATGCCCAATTAGTAATTGTTGTATTCTGCTACTGATTGCTTTCTTTATATCACAGTTAGGGATGACCATTGGAGTGGATGTGAGAAACATCAGAGGCAACCTGCGCTATAGCTGTACCATGAAGATCTGGGTATTAGGATGGCAAAAGACCACAGCTGGACGGTTCAGGTGTGCTGATGAGGCTATAGCTGGGTCATAAAAATATAGGCATTGAGATGAGATCAGAGATGGACTACATAAGTGTGTGCATTGGAGATAAGGAAAGGCTGAAGCCCTACACGGTTGCCAGGTGTTTCCTCTGGGAAGGGGTGGTTTGCATTCTTCTTGCAGTACCTGTGTTGGTGTCTATGAGAAAGTGACTTCAGTGAGTGAGCAAAGTTCGACTTATAAGCACACCAGTTGGCATCACTGCTGTCCCTGTACTGGGCTGTGTTTGACCACTCTGTATTCCCATGCATTGTCCCTTTGTGATGGGGTCCAACTTGACTGAGTGCCATGGAGGCCAGACTCATCAGTGGATAGTAAGTAGATGATGTTCTTGTGATGTGTCCTGTACATTCTAAGAATTGCTTCTGCCTCCAACTCCATTCCCTACCTATGTATTTTACATAGTGCTTCTTCATTTGTTAGGTATAGGGGTAAAGAGGACCATAAACAAGGAAATCATTAACAAAATAACCCCAAAGAGCAATCCTTCTATAGTGGGGATGCAGAAGAGCTGGGAACATCGATGACCAAAGAGAACATGAGGTTCAACATTGGCCTTGACATGAAGCAAGGGTGCTTGTCTCTCTACAGCTGCTTGTTTGCCTGGAGTTAGTGGTGAGTTTGTTCCAAATGGCCCATTGGCCCAGGGGAGTGATGACAGAAGGGTAATAACAAGAGGAGGCTATTTTATTTTTTCTTTCAATTACATATATTTTATTTTTTAATTATTTATTTATTAATTATTATTTTTTTTATTTCTTACATACATGACAATAGTGGAGTGCATTAAAATCATAATTATCCATTCACAGCACAGTGTTTTGTAACTCTGTATATAAAGAAGAAGGGGCTATTTAATTCGCTCTGCTAAGAGCTTCCCTTAGTATAGTATGTTCTCTGAGAGACTCTTAGCTTCCCCATGTAAATTCAAGAAAGCTCAAGATGAGAGGACCATTGACCCTCATACTTGCAGTTGCTGAAATGAAGATTTGTGACTACCCCAAATCTAGTTAAGGTCATAAACTTCAAGCAACAACCATATGACCCTCAGACCTTGACAATTACATACTTGGCATTAAGTGCCAAGTCTTGTGCTTAACTTTATGAAGTTACCTACCCGACCTGGCCTTGAGCTCCTGGTTGAAATCACCTGACCTTACTCTACTAGCTCTACCAACCTGGCTTAAACTTGCCCCTACTCCAGGCATAATCCACTGACCCTTTGCCCCAAACTCACTGCATATATAGAACATTAGCCTGACCAAAGTAGATTATGCATCAGGTGTTCACTTGTTGTGCTCATTCTGCTGGATTTAGTGACATGGTATTTCACCTGCCTTTACTGACCTAGACTTATTAAAATTGTGGCCATCATCTCAAGTCTCCAATTTCCTCATTGTGCCACCTGAATATACATCAGTGTTCAGTGCCCCATAGCAAGATCTGATTGCACTAACACCCTGTCAAAACCCCTTAGCACTTGTCTGTGGAGTCTTCATGACCCCTGGCTTTGGTTTTTAAGTTTAGCCATTTTTGTTATATATGTATGTCCTTTCACCCATAGTGTGGTCACCTGGTCATGTCCATCTGTGTGTCCTCTATTGACTTATCCTTATGACCCTTCTCCCTGTTCCTGCTCTTTCTCTTCACCTGAAAACTTTGCTCTCAAGTCCTTGGATCACCCTTACCTTGACACCTTGGCTTTTTTATCCAATTGACTTTCACACCAGCCCAACCCAGCATCTATACCACTTACCTGATGGAGTGCTCTGTACCAATTTTATTAATTGTTTTTATCTTCTCAGGTCCTGTGACCTGGCATCCCACATGGCCTTACCCATGTAGACTAAAATTTTTAAGGTCTTGGCCTTCATGTCATTTCCTCAACCTCCTGCTTATACTCTTTTGGCCATTACCTTCTGTCCCAACTAATAAGCCCATGATCCCTGACCTCAGGCTATGTCACCAGGCTTCAATCCTTTTTGGTCATGTCTACATGGTCTTTCATACCTGCTGTTTCTCTATTTGCCCTTCTGCATCTTTGCTTTGTCTCCTATGAAGAATTGGTTTCAGCCCCTTCCCTCCAGTGACCTCTTCCATCATGCTCAACTGTCCCGATGGACTTTGCCTTATCTATGTGTGGTGACCTCTTGTTCTTAATCTCCTTGGTCTAGTATAATTGTATTCCACATGCATTACCCTGCTGCTATTAATGCATACTTGGCCTTAACCTCATACCCTAAAATTTTGTTGTGTATGATGGGCTATACTTAACAGTCAAAATGCCCTTAGCCAAACCTACTTGACTTTCAACTCATCCAAACCCTATAGCCAGTTCTTCTGTCCTTGCCCACCTGTCCTTGTCCACCTGTCCTTGTCTGTGATGGCTTCATGACCCTCTGTCGGTGGTCATGTGGTTTTGACTCTTTGTTATGTCCCACATGTACTTTCACCCCCGGTGCTGTCCTCTGACCTTGACCCCACCCCGCCCCCAGCTTTGCCCATTCTGGCCTTGCCCTTATAGCCTTACCTCATACCCCATTCTACCTGTCCATGCCCCCAAGGTATTGTTCTTATATACTTCAGTCCCCTTTTCTTTGACACCTGATGGTATCCACCTGACTTTGGCACTAGCCCGACTCTGCATCAAGATCACTTGTATTACCTGGTGGCCCTGTCATAATTTATTACTTTTATCCTTTGAGGTTCTGTGAGCTAGCACCTAACGTGGCCTTACTCACCTAGACTAAAATGTTAAACTTCTAGTCTTCATATTATGACCTCAACCTCCTACTTGTACCGTTGGCTGTGGCCTTCTCTAATGAGAAAGGCCCCCAATTCATGGTCTTGCCCACCTGACCATGCCCGCTGCCCTAAAGGACACTGTGTCCCGTAACACCAGTTCTCAATACTTTTGGATACGTCCATATGCCTTTTCATGCTGGGTGTTCTTCCTTATGCTACCCGCCAGCCTTGTCCCCAAGTCCTTATGAATTTATTTCAGCCCTTCCAACCAAGGGTCCACTCCCATTGCACCAACTGGCCTGAACCACATTGCTGCATCCATGTTGTGGAAACAGCTTGCCATTTAACCTCCTTGGTCTAGTAACTCAGCATCCCAGATGGGTTTACCCACCTATTGTCATCACACACTGGTACTTTGAACACCGCGGCCTCAGACTTCATTCATTACTGTAGTTGGGAATAATGTCTAAATACCTTTCAGCAAATCCACTTGCCCTCCAACCCAGTCCAAACCCTATGTCCAGTCTGCCTGTCTTGCCCACCTATCCTTGCCTCTGAGGTCTTCAAGACCTCACACCTGTGGTGGACAGGTTTAACCCTTTTTGGGATGGATGCTTGTTTTTTCACCCCTGATGCTGCAGCCTGGTATTGCCCCACTTGTCTGGCCTTCAGAGCCTTGCCCTTTTGGTCCTTCCCCAGACCCCTCCTCCCCTTGCTCTCAAGACCTTGCACCCTTGGTATGGCCTTTATGGCCTTGCCTTTGTGGTCTCTCACCCTATTCTGTGACATTGCCCTTGTACCCAGAACCTTGTGTCCTTTGTCTAGCCTTTATGATTTTACCCTTATGATGCTGCCCCATGCTCCCTTCTCATGGACCTTTCCATTGCCAGAAAGACCATGACCCCAAGTCCAACCTTTGTGATATTGTTGTATTGCCCAGCTCCCCTGCTCCTTCCACCCCTCCCTTGCCTATGCACACAAGGCCCTGCCTCACTGGATTGTCCTTGACCTTATTGTCCTGCCCCTTGTCCATAGACTCTGCCCCATTCCACTTCTCCTTGCCCTTCCAATGCTCCCAAGCTCTTGTTCCCTCCTGGGACCTTCATGACCTTGGTCTTATAGCCCTGACCCATGCCCCCTCTCTGGTTCCTTGCCCTTGACCCCAAGACACTTCCCCCTTGGAATGGACTCCATGGCCTTGCCTCTATGGCCATGCCCTCTGCCCCTCTTATAGACTAAACCAAACACCTTTCTCCCTTTGTCTGGCCTCAGTGGCATTGCCTTTAGGGTACTGCCCCTGACCACCTCTCTCTGTAATTGCCCTTGTCCTTAAGGCCTTGATATATTGGGTTGGCCTTTGTGACTTTGCCCTGCCTCATGCTGTATCCTCCCTGCTCTTTACCTTTTCCCGAAGGCCTTGCCCCCTTTCTCTGGCCTTTATGGTGTTACTCTATGGTCCAGCCCCTTGAAACTTCCTCTCTGCCCTTGCTTTCAAGGCCTTCCATTTTCACTGGCCTTTATGGTTTTACTCCCCTATGGTCCTGCCTCATGCTAGGTCCTCCCTGCCCTTGTCCTGGTCCACTATCCCTTCTTCCCTGTTCTGAATTCATGGCCTTTTCCTATGCCCCTTTTCCTATGCCTACTTCCTGCTCTTGCCCATGTCACAAGACATTGCCCACGTTGTCTGGCCTTTATGGCCTCACTCTTATGGCTATCCACTCTTCTCCCATGGCTTTTCTCCCAAGGCCTTGCCTCACTGGTCTGTCCTTTATGGCCTTGAACACAGTGCCCTGCCTGGAGCCCCTTCCTCCCTTCCCTTCCATACTCCAAATTCCTCATCTCTTTTGTCTGGCCTTTATGGCTTTTCCTGTAGGGCCCAGTGCCCTGTCCTTCATCACAAGACCTTGCCCTCATGGTCCTTCCCTAAGCCCTCTGCTTCCTTCCCTTACATCCCCCCAGCCTTACCTCCTTTCTCTGGCCTTTATGGTTATGCTCTTATGGCCCAGCCCCTGCCCATCCTCCCTGCCCATTCCCTTGCCCATAAGCCCTTGTCTCATTTTTCAGGGCTTCATGGCATTGCCTTTCTGTCTCTGACCATTGTCGCTTATTCCAGTTCTTGCCCTGTCTCCAGTCCTTGCCTCTGTATTCAATGGATTTTCTCTTATGACCCTGCCCCAGGCCACACTGTCCATCTCTTTCGTGTGTGTCCATGGGCTTGCCCCCATGGGTTTGCTCTTTATGACCTTTCCCCTATGGCCCTGCCGCATGCTACCTCCTTCTTGCCCTTGTCCTTTATTACAAGACATTTTCTCCTGTTCTGGCCTTCATGGCCTTGCCCTGTGGTCCTAAACAATGTTCCCTCTTCCGACTCTGGTTCATGCCCCAGTTCTCTGCCCCACTGGTCTGGCCTTTATGACTTGGCCATTATGAGCATTCGCCCTTGTTCCTGTACATGCCCTTTCTTCCAAGGCCTTGCCCCCATTGCTTTAGCCTTCATGACCTTGACCAAAATTCCTTGCCCCAAGCCCCCTTCTCCATTCTGTTCATGCCCCCAAGCTTTGCCCTTGTCTCATGGGTCTGGCCTTAAGGGACACATGGACTTGCCCCTGTCCACTTATTTCTACTTTGTCTCCAATGCCTTGACCTCTGATCTGACTTTCATGGACTTTCCCTGATGGTCCTGGCCAATGGCCCCTCTTTTGGCCTTTTCCCTTGCCTCAAGACAAGAGGGGGTGTTGGACCACAAGGTAAGACTACAAAGGCCAAAGTAAGGGGGCAAGGCCTTGGGAGCAGGAAAGTGAATGGAGAAGGAGGTTCTGGGCAAGTTGGTGTGCTCAAGGCCATGATGGACAGACCTATGAAGCAAGACCTTAGGAGAAAGACCATGGGCAGGGAGAAGGATGAATGGCCCTAAGGCAAGGCCATGAAGATCAGACAAAAAGGACAAGACCTGGGGGCTTGGAAGGGAATGGAATCTGGGGCTCCAGGCAGGGCAATGTGGTCTTGTCATGAAGACCAAACCCATAGGATGAAGCCTTGGAATGAAAGGTATAAATAAGCAAGAATATGTGTGAATATTAAGGACAACCATTTAATGGTCATACAAATGGGACAAGGATTTGAGGGCATGCAAGGAAAGGGAGCAGAGGGCTTCGGGAAGGGCTATGAGAGCAAGGCCAGAATCCAGACCCAGCCACTTCTCAGCTGCACTAACTCTTGCCCCAAGTCCTTTCCCCTCTTGGACTGGTCTCTATGGCTGAGGGCCTCATGTTTCTGACCAGTACTGCATCCTTAGACCCTTGCCCTTGCCCCAAGATCTTGACAACTTATTCTGGCCTCGATTGCTTTATCTTTATAATCTTCCCAGAGTCCCCTGCTCATTTCCTATGGCCTCTAGTCACCTCTTCTACCCACTTACTCCTGCCCCAAGTCCTTGCTCCTCTTGGACTGGCCTTTGTGACCAAGGTCTCATGCCACCTTACTACTGCCCCATTTTTGGGCTCTTGCCCTTGCCCCAAGATGCTGCCCCCTTTCCTAGCCTTGATTATCTTTACCCTTATAATATGGTCATAAAGGCCATTCAAAGGGTGCCTTTTGTCAAGTACTGGGGTATGGAGGAGGGGGCAAGTTACAAGGACAGATGGGCAAGGTCATTTAGGACAGATAAAGGGACCATGGAAAAGGGCCAGAAGAGGGGACATAGGCAAGGGTCATAGGGCAAGACCATGAAGATCAGAAATGGGACAAGGCATTGTGCAGGGGAAAGGGGCTCAGGGCAGAGTGATGTGGGCAAGATAGGAATGGTCAGTTCAAAATGGCAACGGATTGAGGCAAAGGTAGAGATTGGGTGGGTGGGTAAGGGGCAGGGCCCTAGGGTATGGAGGATAAGGCAGAGGCAAGGACAGATGGGCAAGGCCATGTATGTTCAACCAGTTTGGCAAGGTCTTAAGGTCACAGGAAAGGAGCAGAAAAGGGAGCATAGGTAAGGGCCAGAGGCCAGACATGGGGCAAGGCCTTGTGGGCATGGGCAGGGGAGAGGGGCTCAGGGCAGAGATGATGTAGGAAAAGAAGGAATGGACAGTCCAAAATGGTAAGGTCTTGAGGCAAAGGCAGAGATGTGAGGGCAAGAGCCAAGGCCCTAAGGCAATGCCATAAAGGCTAGACAAGAGGGGATATCCCGGCTTTGGGCCGTGGAAGACTTCTGGGCAAGGCGATGTGGTCAAGCCCATAAAGGACAGACTAATAGGGCAAGCCTTGGTAGAAATGGCTTTAAGTGGGAATAAAAGAGTGAATGTCTACTAGGGCAGGACCATAAAGGCAAGACCAAGGGATGAAGTCTTGTGGCAAGGACCAGGAGAACTGGGCAAGGGGCTGGACATAGGGTAATGGCATAAAGGCCAGACATGGGGGCATAGCCTTTAGTGCAAGTGCAAAGACAGTGGAGATGTGATACTGAGAAACTGATGTGACTCATTTTTGAAAATAAATAAATAATAGCAGCTTCTACCTCAAGGACTGTCCTAAGGAAGGGGGCATGACCCTTGTCCTTGGAAAAACCCACAGAGCTTTTCTAAGCAGATAACCACCCTGCTGAGTTGTTTGTCTGCAAATAACAGGAGAGATCTGCTCTGCCAGGTGTCCCTGACTCAGTTAGGCTAGGTGAGGATCCATAGCAACCCCCTACCAACCACCAATCAGCATGAGACAGGGAAATACCTGGGATGCCAGATGACCCTCCCAGTAGTTTATGGTGATTGATAACATGTTGGAAAACCATGTAGTTAAGCATGTACACCCCTCATGGCTTAAACCAATCAGTTCAAAGGAATCCCCCTCTTGTACTAACCAATCACCCCTACCCAACTTGTTCCCGCCATTGAATGTGCTAATCAATGTTAAGAGTTGTTGTTTGACTTTCCCATGGTATGTAATGATTTGCTGTGTGATGTTGTGACGCATAGAGTATCCCCCCAAAACCTATAAAATCTCACTGAACAAAGGACTGGGACTCACTCCCTGGGACTGCTGCATCGGAACGGTGAGTCCAGGCTCAAGCTTGCAATAAAGACTCTTTTGTGATTGCATTGGATTCAGCTCCTGGAGGTCTATTGGGGTCCCACGAATCTGGCATTACACTACAGGGCAGGGTAAAATAGACAAGGCCTTAAATAACACCCACAGCGTGTCAGGCCTTTGAGGCATGGATGGGAAATGAGCAGGAAGTTCATGGAAGGCCTAGTCCTTGCCATAAGGCCTTGACCTTTTTGTCTGGCCTTATGTCCTTACCATTATGACCCTGCTCCTGTCCCATCCCCTAAAATTTTATTGCTGTCAAAAGAAAAAATTGCCCCATGATTTTATCTTGTTGGCTTTGCCAATATGACCTTGCCACTATTCTGTCACTTTGTTACTACCTGGTACTCCATGCCTTGCTCCTTTAAACTGGCCTGTATGGCCTGGCCCTCATGCCCCTGACCATTTCCCCTCATCTGTCCCTTGCCCTTGACCCAAGTCTTAGCCCCCCTTGTTCTCACCTCAATTGCCTCCTCCTATGGCTCTTCCCTGAGGCCCCTGCTCACTTTTCTTCCACTCATTGGAGACCCGGTACCCTGTGTCTGCCCTTTAAGGCTTTGCCCATGTTGCCCTGCCCCTTCCACATCTTCTTAGTCCTTGCCCTTGCCCCTGGCCCCAAGGTCATGCCCATCATCTACATCATTGCCCTATGGCCAGCCCCTGCCCACTCTAGCCCTGTCTCCAAGACCTCGTCCCCTTGATCTGTCCTTCATGGCCTTTCCCTTATGGTCATTCACTCTTGTCTCAGCTTCTTCCCTTTCTACTAAGTCCTTGTCCCATAGTTTGGGGCTTTGTGGCCATGACCACTGTAGTAACCTCTTGGCATTAACTTCCTTGGTCTGGTAACCTGGCATCCCAGATGGATTACCCACCTACTAAAACACTGGTCCTTAATCTCATGGCCTTGAACTTTGTTTTGTAGGCTGGGCTACTGTCTAAAAGCTCCTAGTGAAACTCACTCACCCTTCAAACAAGTCCAAATTCGACATCCAGTCCTTGTCCTTGCCCACCCGTCCTTGCCAGTGAGATCTTCGTGACTTCCTGGCCACAGTCATCAGGTTTTAATCCTTTTTGATATGCTTATGTGTCCTTTCACTCCTGGATTTCCAACTGGCTTTGTGTCCCTATGGTCTCACCTTAATGGCTTTTCCCTTATGGCCCTGTCACTCCTCCCTGACCCTGCCCCCAAGGCAATTACCCCTTTTTTTTTGGCTTTTAAATTCTTGTGATTATGGCCCAGCCCTTTTCTCTGCTCTTGCTTCTAACTTTACCCCCAAGGCCTGTCCACTACTGCTGTGGGTCACCCTTGACTTATACGCAGCCTTATCTACTTGACCTTGGCATAAACTAGACATGCATCTAGATATTTAGCCCTACCCATGCGGGCATGTCCAGTTTTTATTAACCTGTTGTTCTCATCCTCTCAGGTTCAGGGGCTTGGCATCCCACATGGCCTTACTCCTCACCTAGACTGAAGTTCTTAAACTCCTGGCCCCCATTCCAGGCCTTCCATCTCCTTGTTGTTTCCATCATTGTTGCCTTCTGCTCCAATGTCTAAGCCTGCAGTACCTGTTTTTTTTCCTACCCAACTATGTCCAGTGTCCTACAGGACCTTGAGCCATATGTAACCAGGGCTCAATTCTTTTAGTTTTGTCTACATGCCTTTTCACACCTGGTGTCCCTCCATTGGTCTTGCCATCTTCCTGGCCTTGGCCCCCATTGCTTACAAATGGACCTTGCTCACTTTCCTACCCAGTACCTTCTGATTTTGCGCCATTGGCCTGGCCTTCTTTACCATGTCCATGTGTATTAATCTCTTGGATTTAATATCCTTGTCTAGTAACCTAGTATGGGTTACCCACCTAATATTATTAAACAATTGGCCTTCACCTCGTAGCCTCAAACTTTCTTTTCTGTTGTATGTTATCCTTGTGTCTAAATGCACTTGGCCAATTCCACCTGTGCTTCATTCAGTCCAATCCTTTTGGCTTTGCCTACCTGTCCTTGCTGGTGAAGTCTTAACCTGTAGTTGCCAGGTTTTAACCCTTTTTGTCATGTTCACATGCCCTTTCATCCCTCTGTGGCCTCTGGGCCTTGCTCCCCTGGAAAAGCCCTCATGACCTTTCTTCCAATGGTCTTTTCCTTTTGTCATTGGCTCCCCTGAGTTGCTGTCCTGATAATACACCCTTATGACTGTACCTGTCGGCATAGTCTCCCAGGCCTTACCCCCTTGGCCTTTCCCAATGACCTTGCCTCCTTTTTATTACTCCCCTTGGCTTTGCTGCCATTCAGGTTGACTTGCTGAACTCAAGTCTACTTATCCTTGGTCCAGACATCTATGGGTATTTATCACTAGCTCTACCCACCTGACCTTGTCCTTGTGGTATTACCTTGCTATTCCTGTCCTCCTGAGTATAGTTACCTATCAGTTCATGTGGCTTACCCACTTAGGGTTAGTAAACCCTTGACCTTCATCTCATGGCTTAAAATTCCTAGTTGTAATCCCCAGCCATAGCCCTAGGTACGTACCCTGTGGTCACTCCTTCATGCCCTTACACCATGTCCAAATTGCAGTCACCACACCTGGTCTTGCTCACCTGTCTTGCCCCAGTAGTATTAATGACCTCCTGATTTTATATACCTGTTACTATCCGGCATTATTTCTCTGGGCTTGCCCATCTGGTTTGATCCTTATTTCCTTATACCTTGAATGTAGTCATGGTGGTTCTAAGTCCTGAGTCTTGGCCTGTCTGGTCAAGGAGTGACTTTGGTATAGCAGATTTCCCTCTTTGTTACTTTTACTTGCTTGCTCTATGTGTACTTTTTTTTGTTGAGAATAGGAAAACAAAGTTTTTTACTGGCTTTCCTGGAGAAGATGGATGAAGTTGACAATTCTGGTAAGTTTTAATATTTTTTACTTACGTGTCTATTTTCTCTGTTAAAGATATGGTACTTTTCGCTTTGCATTCCATTGTCAGCATTTTCCTCAGTCACTAAAACATTTTTGCTTTTTAGTATCGATTCATAACTTTTCCCCAGCCATGATGGCCCCATGAAGTAATGGAAATTTTTTGATTCTCTAAAGACCTGGATGCTCTTATGTTGCTTGAGTTGTTGCATAACAGTAACTTTTCTGTCCTTTTTGTGGTGATATTTTATAGAACACTACAACTAGAATGGATTGTTAACAACTTAGTAGCTCTTTTAGTTACTGTATTTATCATTTTTGATACTTTTTGAAGGCCAGTGTAATCAAAGCAAAAGGAGAGCTAAAGTTTTTTGTAGACCATAATCTTAGTCCTGGAAAAGGTAAGAAAGTTTTCTCTTTTTCTAAACTTACTAAGTTTTATTGTTTTTAATGAATGGGTTAACATTGAAGCTCCTTGTTAACTATGGAATCTCCAACTATAAGAGCTTTCCTGCTCTAAGAACCCTCAGGAGTGAACTTCAAGCCTGATAACAAAACATACCTACCCATGCATATAGTAGCTTTGTTATTGAGGTGTTGACCATCAAACTTAGGACCTTGAATTTTCTGTGAAAGCATTTACCATTGAGCTATATCCCCCACACTTGGCTTCTATGTTATGAATACTATTTGCAAAATTTCTGAATATGTAGAAAAATATAAACAAGATGATAAAGATCACTTGTATTCCTTCCAGCCAAGACAATGAGTACTTCAACAGTATGGACACTTCCAGGTGTTTCCTCTATGTGGGACCTCATTAATCTCAGGTGAAATGAAAGAAGGATCTTACA